TAATTTCACTCAGAAAAATCTTTTTGTTCAATAGGAAAATAAAGGCATATACATAAAAAATCATGGCAGAGTTATACTGAAAAAAATCCAAATAGCCTTTACTAAAGGAAGATTAGTTGATTAACTAAACTTGTATCCAAGGAAATAAAATTACACTTAAAATAATAATTATGGAAGTTACAAGGTAACATGAAATATAGAACAGTAACCAAAAAGTAGAATATAATGTCATTTGCAGCAATGACTAAAATTGTATAAAATTGCCTAGATATTTGAAATCCATATCCTAATTTTGTATGTTAAAATGGTGAGATGATAATTGATTTGACTTTTTCTCTCTATTTTTCAACTTTTATGCGATGTGAAATTGCTTTACAAATCTAAAATGTTCTTTGGCAAACCTTATCTTATTCTATGATTTAGTCTTTCCAAGACCAGCTGTATGGTATATAGTACTTGTGAATTTTTATAATTGCGAATGGTGTATTCACTGCTTCTTAGAGAGAAAAGGCAACCTTTTCAGTTCAATTTATATTTCTGCCTCTAAAACCTTTGCTTACTGCATCATTATATTTTTCATTATATTATTTTTTGTCACATTTATTCAAGTTGTTAGTAACTTTGATAATTTAAGTAGACATGTAAATAGTCCTATACTACAGTAATGAAGTCTCTAATTTTGTCATATGATATAATAGTCATAGACTTCAATGAAATGATGAGAAATGAATGTTTACTTTCTAACATATATCTGGTTTTTTTGTAAATTTGATTTAGAAGAATAACTCAAAGTGAATGTTTTAATTTGCTTATTTGTTTAATAAGACCCTGAATTTTCTTCTACAGATCCAAGCATTTTTATTCTTTGCACAGTACAGAGGATTAATAACTCATTTTCATTTACTCAAAATCTGTTGACTTGTGGGAGTTGGAAACTTTGCATTTGACAGTTCCAATTAAACCCTAATTGCAATTTGAAGAATTTGCTACAATAATAGCTCAGCACTGAAACTGACATAATTTTCTTTTCTTCTCAATGATAGGTCAAAGTGTAGAAATGTTGATTGCTATCCAAAGCAAAATCTTGTTTTCATGATGAGTAATTTTGTTCTCAACAGCCCAAACAATGGTGACTTCCAATTAGAGAAAGACTGAAGTCCTAAAATCTTCAAATAATCCAGATTACAAATACTCATGTGCACTGACAGTGTTTTGGGTCAATCTCCTGATTGACTATGAGCACAGGTGCAGAGCACTGAAATAGTTTTTATATTAAATATTATTCCAATGCATCTATTTCTAGGCTTCCATGATGAAATATGTCCAAATATTTTTCCATATGCAACTAGGATTCCTAAAGATTCTGTTGGAAAGATGCACAAAATCCATTTTCGAGACTAGTCACAGGACCATGTCCACCATTTCTGCTTGGGAAAAATATTCCTCCCACAGGAATGATCAGTGATTCATTCATTCATTTCTCTCTCTCCCTCCCTCCTTCTCTTCCTCCCTGAATACCTCCCTCTCTACCTCCCTTGCACACACATAGGCATGCGCTCTCGCTCTCTCTCTCACACACAGACACACAATACTATAGTGAAACTAAAACTAGAAAATACTACAAAACATTTGCATGTGGAAAGAGAAAATAGAAAAGCATTCTGAGATCTAACTTGGCAGATGTTACAAGGGATACACACACTGCCCATGGAAAACGTTGCTTAATTTGGCCCAGCTCTGCTCCCTGGAGATAGTTTTCTGTTCCACAGCTTTCAATGGTCCTTAGCTCTGTTGTCTAGGAGATCCTTACTGTATACTGGAGCCACATCAGGATGGCCTCTTGAGAATATTCTCAGACTTTCGATAGTACACTCAGGTAGCTTCGTTCTCATTAAAACTTTGAAGGGAAAACATATGATTTCAAACCTAGAGAAACGAGTCACTTTGTATTCCAGGCTAGAAACTCACTTGTCAATTCAACTGCCACACAAAGACTTTTCTTCTATATGATTCCAGTAAATTCCACAGGTTTTTCACACCCACAGATCTTCTGGTGATATTCCATAGCCTCTGCTCTGCTTGTAGTTACCTTGAATTACGAGAGGTTCTGGTAGAAGCACAATCTCATTCTCTTCTCTGTAAACCATTTTGTTCAGCTCAAAGGATTTATAGGGCCCTATCTTAACAGATTCAGAGTTTTAATAACAGACTTGATGTCCACACCATTGCGCTGATATAGTCTTTGCTGCAAAGGTCAATTTTAATTGACCTTTACTTTTAAGGGCATCCTCAGTCTTAATAGTTTTTCATTTGGAAATGAAAGTCAAATGTGTTTTACTATGCTTGCAGTGGCAGAACAACTTAAATTTCTGTATTACCTTACATATCTCTTTGAAAACTCCACAATTATTTTGAGTTCATCTTTCTTTAGGTATTTGTCAAAGGCACAAACAGAAAATGAGAAATATTAGTTTGCAGCTCTTCACCTAAAAACTGCAAGCGCATGTTGTACATCATTTGCCTTGCAGGGACTACAGGAAATGAATGCAGCACCAAATGTTGCACTACTACACAAAATGGGTTTTTGTCATTCTAGCTCCCAATACATTTTCTCACCACCTACTTCAGACACTGTAGTCATCGCCATATATTTTAAAAATTTCTTTACTATTTTTATGACTGCACCAATCAGCTTCCACTAAATTTTTTGCAGTAAGAAACAACTCCAATGTCTCAGTGGCTTAGGACAGCAAGTGAAGTCAGGTGTCACCTAACGATTGGGATATATTCTGATACATAATATTAAGTGATTTTGTAATGAATTTGTCATATTAAGTGATCAAGGAGAGTTTTGGCACAAACCTAGATTGTAGAGGTCATTCACTCAAGGTGGTCTCTCTATGCAACCAAGAGATATGTGAGGCTGCCGTCATTGTAACATGATACAGTGTTTTAAAGTTTTAAAACATATGTGGCAGTAGGAGGAGACCATAAAAATTACAATAAAAATAATAGCTTAGTAAATAAATACATCAATAACAGCCATTTGTTACTATTAACAAGTATGGTGTATTGTACATGGTTGTATGCACTATACTTTTATAGGAGTAGTAGTGCAGGCTTGATTACACCACAAATGCTTGAGTGATGTGCTCCAATATTACCTTACAACAGCTAGGATATGATAAGGTGATAGGAAACTCACAGATCTGCTATAATATTTGAGGACCACTGTCATAAATGTGAAGGTTTGTTAATGAAAGCATTGTTATACAGCACATAACTGTATTGGTTTTCCCCATGTGGGTTGCACTGTAGGTCATGAACCCTCCACTTCAGGATCCATGCAGAAAGAATAATGTCTGCTTTGGAGGAGTCTCAGGATCTGAGAGATGAAGAAAGTGCACATCAGAAAAGGAGCTGGCCAGGAGCTTGTGTTGGCCCTCAACGCGTCTGACAGCAACTGGCCTGCATGGCTTTTCTGATAAGGCACTGGCAAAACAAACGCGATGTAGCCAACCCTGACACCGATGAGAACAATGAGAAGATCTTCATGAATTTGTAAAAAATGCATTTTCTGAAAAAATGCATTAATTTCATATTTTTGCACACAAATAAACTGATCTTTTAATTCCATTTCCATGTACTTTTTGAAGTATTATCCTGTAACCCTACATGGAGGAGTATTCTTAAGAACACAGATTTATCTATTATTTTTCAATCTCTTTTTACCTTTTTTATAGCTAATTTTTAAATTTATTCCATTAGACTCTTGAATCAAATCTTTGAGGACTAGTATTCCACAAGCCCTAGAAAATAGTACCATATTGCTACTGATAGTTGCAACTTCTTAAAACCTGTATTCACCAATTCAAAGGTTCTTTTCCTACCGCTCCCCGACAAACACTTGCATGTTAAAACTTCACAAGAACGAGGACTCTGGACAAACAAAAACCTAGAAACATTCTCCTGAGCCTTTCTACTATACTCCAGGGCAGTACCCCTACAAATGAATATCCTTACACAGTGCATACACATCTTTATAGAAAAGAGGCCTGGAGAGAACAGAAGCTGCAGACAAAATAGCATTGCAAGAACTGAGGGAAATACATGAGTCTCATTGCTGGAATGATTCCATTTTCTATGTGATGCTACAAGAGAAGGAAATCAAGTTTGTTCAATTTTAACAGTGTTGATTAAAAACTAACTTTTGGAATATGAAATGTGTTCTATTATGAAATTACTCCATGAAAAAATAATTCAGCTTTTTTTTCTTTTTAGATTTCCAATTGTTTGGCATCATATGAAAACAATCTTTCTATCCAGGGAACTAATGTTTTTTGCCTCAAAAGTTGTCCAACAGGAACAGATGCAGTGACGGGAACACCATCTGACATAAGTACTGCCATGTGGTGACAGCCCCACAATCACACTGACATTTGAGACTTTTTTTTTAAACAACTCTCTTTGTTGTTTGTAACTGCAACTGAATCCACACCCTACTCACAGGTGTGCTGTCAGGATGTTACAATGTGATGTCTACTTTCCAGAAATTTCTGAAATATCCCCTATATTCCATAAGGCATTAACTAGTTGATCTTACATGACAAAATGAAATACCTAAATTTTCTTAAACACCACAGAACCCTGGGGATAATACATATCATCACACATATATATCACATTTCTCTGATATATGCTTAAGTTTTAAAATAAAATAAAATGATCTGCATTAATGATAGTGTGCCCATGTTCAGAGAAATACACACAAAGGACTATGCTAAAACAAGGAAGCTATGGAGTATACTCAGAAATAGCGGCACAAATGTGCACATTATTCTTACAATCCTTTTCCTTCTTAACATTTTAAAATGGTTTTAGTCATTAAAATGTAAAGATTTTAACCCGTTGAATGCCATATATTAATAAAGAGAAATGAATTCCATATGCTGTAATATGCTACTTTGAGGCTGTTCAGCATGCCCTCACTCACAAAGTACCTCAGCTTCTTTTCGGTTGAGTCCCTGTTTCAACTCCTCCACTTGAAATCTCAGTTTCTCTTCTTCCGCCTCATGTTGACCCACTAGGTGGTTTGCGTGAGTCAGCTCTGCCGTTTTTGCCTGGTACTGTCTGCTCAGTTCGTAGTAGGCATGCTGAAGGTCCAACAGTTCCTTTCAAGAGAAAACAGGGATTACATATGTATAGTCCACTCTGATAAAGTCAGAAGAATAGCAGGTTTTTGACAAGAAGAAACACAGTTTAGGAAGAATTCAGAAGCGTCGATCCTTTTCTCTGCAACTCTAAAATTTCTGTAACTAAATATTTAATTAGTACATAACTCTAAAAAGAAGGGTATTTGTACGTGGCTAAAAATGCATCATCAGGTTATGGTGTAGAGTAAATGATCTTCTGCCACTATACAAAAAAAACAGTTTTTAATCTACGTTTTCTAAAAAAGAATCATATTTTCAGAAATGTAGAATGAAAATATAATAAAATATGAAAAACAGCTGCTTATCTATTCAGTCAGCAGAAGTATTAAATGTCAACCACTATATGCTTTTAATACTTTTCTGAAGGGGAAAGATTTGGGCTGCTATAATCATGTGGTCACCTGCTGCTTCTTATGAGACCATAGCAGAGATCTGAAGTAACGGGCGCTCATGTGGGAAAGAAACATAAATCCATCACAAAGTGATTGGACTGCCAATCAATTTTGTTATACTTACCGCCATACATGATATGAATTAACAGGTTACAACCATTGACCTTATATTACTAATAAAGATTTTTTCAATTATAGTTAAAAGTTGCAAAGTAAAATCAAAAGTGCTGTCATTCTAGAGAATTCCTTTATCAAAACTATAAAGAAAAAATATTACCTCTAGATCCTCCTTATATTATAATACTATAAGGAGAACAAAGAATATTTGTTTGATTGCCTAAAAAAGACTAACATAGTACTTGACAAGTGGAGGTGCAAAGAATGGTCTAATCTATGATGCATAGTGTAACACAGTGAAAATGGGATCTATTTTTACATCTATATCAAGAGTAATACTAGTATTGAAGAATCACAGATCCAAAAGTTAAAAAAAAAAGGAAGACTAGAAAATAATAGAAGAAAAAAATATTTGTGTTTGATTTAATCACCAAATAGGTTTTCCTAAGTATGATCTCAAGTCATGAGTTCATAAAATGATGAATGTAATCACAATAAGTACACAATTCAAATATAATAGAATAAAACAAGTTATACACAGAAAATGTAGCCAGAGACAAGTCTGTTACTGTACAAAGAATCACATCAAGTCTTCATAAACTGTCTGGATATACAATTTAAAGGGGCAGAATTTATGGGAAAGAAAACAGACTACATATTTAACATGGGAAAATCACAACTTCACTAAAAATAGGGGAGAAACTATCAATTCATGGAATATTTGCAGATGATATTTAACTTACAGTGGCTTGAATTCAGTGTCAGGAAACTGAACACTCTCATGCAATTTCATGTGCGTACATACATTTCATCACCACTGTTTATATTATCCTCTTTAAGCACACCACCAACTCTTCACTTTCTGTACATCATCCGTTTTCCCTCTTGAGTCCCCAGACTGAGAATACCAGAGAGTCTTGGAAACACAGAGCTTCATTTTTTAATGTTTTCTTAAGGACATATTTGTGAATTCAGAAAAGTGTTCATCTTTTAACTTTGAAAATGCAGTTCTTACTTTATAACAATCCTGTTGGATCTGACACAATCATCAAGGTAGAGAGTGAGAGTTTAGGATGGGGCAGGAGGGGTCAGGAAGGATGTGAGGGGGACCATAAAAGAGCAACACCAGGGATCCCTGTTGTGAGGCAAATGTTCTTTTTGGTTGCTTGATTTCAACCTGCTGGCTGTGCTAATGCAGGAGAGTCTAGCATGAGGACACCACTGGGGACAGGTGATAAATAGTTCACAGATCTCTCTGTTATTTCCAACAGGTGAGCATGCATCAACAATGATCAAAAATGGAAAACCTAATTGAAACTATCAAGATACCACTTCTCAAGGCCTCTGACTGACAGAGGCTAAGTATAATAAAAATATTCTGCAGGTAAAATGTATAGAAAGATGGATTCATCCATGGGCAAACACTGAAATCAAGACTGTTCCTTCACATTCAAAATGCACATCAACTCTGACCCCATCATGTCATTCTATTTGTAGGAATGTGTTCTATAGATACGCATATAATTGTGTAAAACAAGTGTGTAAGATATAATTACAACTATTATCTTCTTATTAATAGGGAAAAACTGGAAATAAGGGGATCTGTACAATGGTGTGGAGATATCCCCAAAATATTGTATTAGGCCAAGCAAATGCTACCGTAAAGTGGTAAATAATGATATTCTAAGAAACAGTAGGATGGTAGGGGTTTGGCACAATGTTTAAGACATGACTTGGGATGCTACCATCCCATACCAGAGTGCCTGGAATTGAAATCTATCCCCTGTTTTTGGCTTTCTGCTAATGTGCAGCTGGGAAGCAGCAGGTGATGACTCAAGAGATTGGATCCTCGACACCCACATGGGATCCTGAATTGAGTTCTAGGCTCCTGGCTTTAGCAGGTTGCAGGCATTTGGGGAGCAAACCCCAGTAGGGAGCTCCCCCTATGTTTCCCCCTATGTTTCCATCCCTATGTATTTTTGCCTTTCAAATAAATAAATTCAATAAATTTTTAAATTTTTTTTAAAAAAGAACAAAGCTGATACAAAGTCACTTTCGGTATGGCATAGTAACTGCCAGGTCCCTGTGAAGCCTACCACTCCCAGGAGACCAGGAAGAACGCCTGAGGGAGGGGAGGAGAGTGGGACTGCAGGGCGGGAACTTGTGGACAAATCTCTGACTTCCTTGCATAGGAAAATGCAAAGGCAGGCTCCTGTGTCTACCAGCCACTGTCCTGGCTCCCTCGCTTTCTAAAAACCTCTGACAACATGAGTGCAAAATAAGGAGACGATGATGTCCTACAAATTCCACCCCTATAGTGATCAGAATTACAAAAACTGATGAGTAAACCTGAGTGATATGAACAGACTCGGACTGACAACAAGACCTGTGCACTCAGACCAGACAGGTTGGCCATGTCCACTTCAGTATCTACACAATCACACTGCAGGTAGTGGCAGCATCACAGTGCCTCACTGAATTACAACAAAAATCAACTCTAAAATTCAAACAGATTTCTCCTTTCTTCTCTTCAGAGTATGATTTTTAAATGTCAGGCTTTATGCCTTTATTTTTTAACAAGGAACCGTATCATAGGGAACACAATTCTATTATTTGGAATGACAGTAGCACATTTAAAGAAAGCATTTTCTTTTTTTTCCTCTTGTTTTATTTTGTTTAAGGAATACAACCTCATGCATTTAATATATACAAATTTGCGAACATGGTGATTCTATCCTCCTATCTCCCTCCCAGCCATACTCTGACCCTTCTTCCTCCTCCATCTTCCTTTCCCATTCTTACTTTTTACAAAGATCAATTTTCAGTAAATTTTATAAAGAAATCACTGCAAAATACTGTAAGGTTTAATCGGGGATTTATAACAAAATTGCAAGACGATGGTGTTTTGAGAATTATGTACTTAGTTACAACTACTTAAACAAGCCTTTGTGATCTAGCAAAATTATTTTTCAGAGAGTCAATGCTTTGTCATTAATCTTGTAAAATTTACCTAGGTTTTTTAAAAAAAGATTTAAGTAATCAAAAATCTTTCAGATGTACATATAGGAAAGGAATAAATGGGGTGAGAGGAAAGAAAGGAGGATGGGCAGAAGGGCACTGTTATTTGTCAGTGCAAATTCTACCAGAATTAAGTGTCTTGTTTATAAGCAGAGTCTTGACGTTCATTCTGTGCTGCCTGGTCATTTGCTCAGAGAAGGTCAACTTATTCTCAAGCCCAGGAGGTAGGTGGGCATTACTAAGTGAGCTGTGTCCACATGAGCAGCAAGAACAGCACTTGGGAATATTATCCAACACCTACTGAATCCGAATCTCAAGGGCTGGGTCCAGCAATCTGGGGTTTAAGAATCATTCCAACTATTGTTGATTAAGCATAAAGTTTGAGGCTCCTGATTTAAGCCAATTCTAGTGAGCTTACTTTTGCCAGTGACTACAAGTATTTTAAGAAGGTAGATGTACTGGGCCTGTGTTGTGGCACAGTAGGTTAAGCCACCACTTGTGATGGTGGCAATCATATCAGTGTGCTGATTGGAATCCCAGCTACTTGGCACCTGATACAGTTTCCTGCTAATGCACCAAGGAAGGAGCATATGATGACCCTGGGCTTGAGCCGCTGCCATTCATGAAGAAGACCTGGATGGAGTTCCTGGCTCCTGGCTTCAGTCTGGCCAAGTCCTGGATTTGAGAGCATTCGGGGAGTGAACCAACAGAAGGAATATATCTCTCTCTCTCTCTCTCTCTCTCTCTCTCTCCATCTCTGCAACACTGACTTTTGAATAAATCAATAATTCTTTTAAAAATAAGGTAGATGTAACTAACTAAGTGATGAGATGTGAGAAATCTCAGTGAGGAAGAGGAGATATTTTAGAATCTTTAAATCACTTTTAAATATCAAGGAAGATTTATTCCCAGAGTTTCGATGCATATCTGGGCACAGGGGAATCCTGCTTACAACCAAGGTTTGCAGACCTGGCCTTACCTCAGCACACAAGAAGATGTGAGAAAGCACCTGCATACAATGCATGCAAAGCCAGATTCAGAGGCAAACATATTCTGATTATGTTCATTTTAATAAAAATGAAAATGAAATCTGATTTTCATTTTTAGAAGAAGAGGCACTGTTTCATTAATGCAAACATGTTTAATCAGTTTAAATTGAAAGGGATTCATGTTTGCCAAGCACCTACTAAAGGTTACTTCTTCACACACCTTTGCTCTAATTCACCTGCCAATTCTGTAATCCTGTGCTGAAGGTATTATCTTCTCTACTTAGTCTCTGAGTGACTATGCAAACTGCCTATGCACAGCCTAATTGTACACTATTCCTACACTTTCATTTCATCAAAACAGTATTACATGTCTGGCTTTAATCATATCAGAAATAGCCTTCCAGATTTCTCAAGTTATTTGACATTTTAATACCTTAATTCA